TGGGGGCCCGCAGCCACTCGCCGGGCTGCCTTTGGGCGCCCGTCGCTCCCTTTGAATCGGGTTTTATCTTCCCTGCGGCCTCCCTTAATTAGATCAAGGAGCAGCAGGGCAGGAGCCAGGAAGTGGCCTCAATAGGTTATTGTTGCCCTAAATTGTAACCAGGACCCGAGGAGTTGGGTTACCGGGGCCGCCTCGCGGGTCAGCGCCCAGACCCCGCTGTCGCGCGTCCGCCGCCGCGTGGCCAAGGCCGGGGCGTCCCCGCGCCGGGGCCCGCGGCTGGGAACAACGACTCCCTTGTTGTGCCGCAGCGCTGTGGTGGCCACCGCACCTTCCGCCCTGGCCGGCCCCGCAAAGGAGGAGGACCAGGCCGAGCTGCCCGCGGGGGAGCAGGGGCATCCTGTACCCGCCAGCTCGGGGCTGGAGTCGACCATGTCGCAGGACCTGGGCACCCGGCTCTGGGTGATGCTCGTGCCACGCTGCCGGGGCAAAGTCCACCCGGTGCCGGGATGGGATGAGCCTGTGGGGAGGGAGAAAGCTGGGCAAGGGTTTCGGGAGGGTTTCGGGAGGGATCTGGTGCTGAGCACTCACTGTGGGTGAGGCAGGAGGCTGCGGAGCATGGGCTCTTCTGGGAGGTGCACACGGGTGCGGAGCTGGCGCGGCGCCTCGCCACCATGGCATGGGCAATTCGCGTGCCTCTCGCTGCAGCAATCCGCGTGCGTCCTGGTGCAGAGCGAAAACCCGCGGGCAGAGATGAAAGAATTGGCCACGGCCACATTGATAATGTCGAGTGGGAGTGTTGAATCAGTTAGCTGCAGCTCTTCAAAGAAGGAGTAGGCAGAAAGCTGCCGAGTTATGCTGGGGAGGCACTGGGTGGCCCTGGGGATCCTGGACAAGCCTGGCTGGATCAGGGACCTCCCGCGCCAGGTGCCCCGTGTGGGAGTTTAACCCCTTCCAGGCCAGCAGCAGCAGGGACAGCGCCCGCGCAGGGCGCAGAGCAGCTCCAGGCACGGCCTGGGATGGATCATGCCATGCTCTGCCCGCGCCGCGTTGGCGCTGCCTGGCTTTGTGCCAGCAAGTTGGGGGATGCCCGGCCGCACACGTGGAGATGAGCGTGTCCTGCTGGGTGCCACTACCGCACGTCCTAGCGTGGCACCCAGGCACCCGCTCAGGCCACCGCGCCGACATGAGGCATGAGGCATGAGGCGGCCTCTCCAAAGGGTTAATGCAGCGCAGCATCGCTGCCTGGGTAATTACACCGGGTAAAAATAGCGCCTCGCGAGAGGCCGGCTCGCGGCGGGCAGCCGCCTCGCGGCCTAATTGCCCAAATGGCTCCCAGATGGGCGGCAGCGCGGTCCTGGCCTCACCACCGGCCCAGGCCGCCCCCTCGAGTGACCAGCACTCCCAAACCTCCGGCCTCATCAGCTTTCCAGGAAGCTGCCGAGATGTCGGCTTTCCCGCGAGCCCTTCCCGGCAGCGGGCGGCGCGCGGCCCCGGCGGGCAGGACGCCCGGCGCGAGGGGCAGCTTGGCCCCACGCGGGCCGCCGCGTCCCTCCCCGAGCCCCTCGCCCTGCCCGCGGCTTCCGCCCCCGGCTCCCGCTCGCCCGCCC